TGGACACAAGCCCACACCCCCCCCCCCCCCCGCCCAGTGGCATGTTAAACTGGCTCCAGGCATGTCAAGGGGAGAAGCCCCCCACTCTCATGTCCCCTAACCCCTCCCATGCTGCACCCCACAGCCCCTAGCGAGCTGCCTGCCGAGGGATCCGGGCCCTGCCGAGTCCAGCAGCTGCCTGCTTGGAGAGGGGCATTTCACACCAGCAGGGCAGCTAGCAAGCACCCCCAGAGCTGTTTAGAGGCAGAAAGGGGCCAGGACACCCCACAGGAAGGAGCCCTGCTCCCAGGCAGAGCACCCCCCAGCCAGGGTGACAGGCAGGCAGCCACACCCTCAGCCCAGAGAAGGGTCCCTCTGCCCCAGCACCATTCCTGGGAACCAGAAAGTCACTTTGGTACCCGTCCAGCCCTCGCACCCCCCTCTGCACCAGCCCCCTCCACTGAAGTGTCCCAGGGTGCATGTGACCAGGGGGCTTCATTTGCATCCACCTGCCCCCCCTCCCAGAGCAGGGATCAACACCAGCTCAAAACAGGCCCAGGACACTGGTGCAAACACCAGCAGCGAGCCAGGCCTGGGAACGGCAGGACAGACGGACTCAGACTCCTGCCGGCATCACTAACGCAGGAGCCCTCCTGCACCCCCACCGCCTCCTCCATCACCTGGACAGAGCCGGGCCATGCAGCTTCCTGTAACTGGCACAAGGGGCTTGCAGAAAACCAGCTGCTCCTTGCAACCAACAGGGACCCCCCCAAAAGGACCCAGCCAGGCACTGCTGAGATCTCACCTGGGGTGGGGGGACTCAACACACCAGGAACCAGAGCACAGGCCTCCAGCAGCTGTTTTATTGGCAGGGTTGGTGGGTAATGCAGCCCAGCTGGGCTTGCAGGTAAAGTGGGTGCTTTTAAAGGGACAGGAGCGTTTATTAAAAAAAAAAAAAAGCAACTGAGCTGAAACGCAACCATTGAAGCAAGCAAGAAGGTGTCCCAGCAAGCCACACACAACCCCCCACCCGCCAGTTCGGGGGTTTGTCAGCGGCCCCTGCCGGGCCCATCGCTGGGGTGTTTGTCCCGATAACGACCGTGCAAGACTAAGTAAAGCCCCAGCAAAACATTTCACTTTTGACCTAAACCAGCAATTAAGACCTAAGGGGCAACGAGGCCTCCTGGCTGGGGATCGTGCATCAGGACCAATGTTCCCTCTAATCTTTTCCATCCACGTGCAGATGTTCCCACTCAGGTGCGGAATAAATTTTGTGCGCGCGGAGGTATGTGCGGATGTGCACCACCAGGAGAAAGACAAAACCTCGCAGGGCGGGGGTGTGCTCTGTTGATCAGCGGCCGCACAAGTTGTCACTGCTCACAGGTCGTGCCCCTCTCGGCCTGTCCATACCCAGGCAGGACCCCCCTCTCCAGTGCGGCGGCCCCTTCTCGGGGAGCTCCCTCCACTGCAGTGACACTCGGGGGGCCTGCTCTCACCTGGGGGGTCCACCCCTCTGCCTCCAGGACGGCGCCTCAGA